GTAAATGCCGAGGTAATCGGCTGTTGGAGATTTTACCGAGCTAGATTAAGTGTGTGCATTGCTTGATTTGTAGTCGACTTTACCGGAGAACTGTAATTTTGAGGACGATATACAAATCGAACATTACCGAAAGATCTGTAATGCTTAAAAAGGTTAGCGATTCAACTTTAATTTGCTTTAATATTGTTGAAGCGGAACGGCAGCGGCAGCGGAAAAGCCCGATCTGAGTAAGCCTACTTGTCGGATTGAAAAGTAGTTAGAACCAAATCGATTTCGGTTAGGCATCTTGATGTCTTTTGGGACAACCAGTGCGCAAAACAGTCAGGTTCATTGAGTCATTTTGATATGAATATGAACTGCCATCTGCCTCATCATTCACTGCCTCGTGAGAGTCTGAATGATTGAGAGGTAAACGAGTCACTGACAGCCGAGCACTCAGTCAGTAGCTCAATCAACACGTTTATTCTGTCGTGATGGTATCCAATATTTATTTTTACATTTTCTATGGAAAAATGACTCTATTATATCACAAACGAAGTGACAGACGACTAACTGGCGAAGAAATCAATTAAAATAATGTGGTTCGCTGTAATAGAATTTTCTTAGAAACTTGTGCCATCAGCCACCAGATGGGCTAGTTTTTTTTGTTTTGATTTGAACATAGTTGATTTTGTGTACAATATGATCTTTGATAGTGTGCAAAGAGTGTATGATTTTGTCATTTTTTATGCTTTTCAGTTTAGAGTAGAGTGAAAGAGATAGAACCAAAACATTCTAGTACATTTAGTGTTGCCATGTGGTACAATCATAGAGGTAACTCTAAGACCACTGGGTCCCGAAGAAAATCATTATTATTTTTGGCTCACTCAGTACCAGAACAACGGTCCCAAGCAGTCCCAAGCTATTTCACTCACCCCTGCATGTTCTGCATGAATCCACACACCCCTGATGTTATCTGTCAAACTTTCATAGCGAATCAAAACAAACATAGTGTAGTAATAGAATTTCAACTAGAATAGGGTACGTTAATCGTTTACTTGGGACCAATAGGCTACTAAAGTGGTGAGCCAATTTAAAATCGTTAGTTTCGTATTGATTGTTGGTACAATCCAGTAGTAGTGGTGTTGCCATGTGGTACACTGAAAAACTGCAATAGCAGGTGCGTCACCAAAGTTTTCGAGCCGCTCCGTCTGTCACTTCGTTTGTGATTATATGCTGTGTGAGCGAAGGCAAGCGGTGTGCGTCGCCTGCTCGTGAGTGACTGAATGTTTTTGTTGGCTCTTTTATTGCCTCGTCCTTTACCGTTTGGTACAAACGGTCTGCACAGAGCAATGGATTGAATAGTGCAGTGCTTTCACACTCAGCCTAGGCAGTCAATAATTTTACGCTCTGGGGACAACTGTCAAACTTTCTGTTACCATTCCGCTTCCGTCCAAATTGCGTTTGGGCCTTTAGTGTTGCAAATTGATCCACCAATGAACAAAAATAAGTTTTTGTCGGAAGGATTCGGCGCTACATTGAAAACAGGGAAGCATTGGATGGAGATTCATAATGCTGTTTTCAGATCGTCGCCAACGGGAATGGATCTTGGACCGACAGAAAAAAACAAGCAACAACATCGGCCATCTGTAATGGATATTTATTTAGATACCGAAAATTGATTACTTACGGAAAATATCTACGATTCGCTGATCTTGGAGTTACATAACAGCCTTCATCGTTTCACCTTTGACGTTTTCAAAGCCGATCTAAAATCACAATATGGCAGATTTGACGTTTAACGAGACCGTTACTGAACTCGGTAATGGAACGCTTTGTTTACCGAAACTTCAGTAAAATATTTCACTGAAGTCAGTGATGAAGCTGATTTACAAACCTGCCGGTAAAAATGATTACCGTTTTCGTTAAATTAAAATGAAATCACCGAAATTCGGTCATTTCATTTACAGTTTTCAGCAAGAAACCGAGAAAATACTAAAACTTCTGTAATTTTTAGGATTGCCGATCTAAAACGGTATTTTTTTACCGAACTCAGGGTCTCTGTTTAAGTGTGTACGTATGAATGATAAGGAATGGAAAAGAAGCGCGATTTCACATGCCGAACCTTTGTCGATCGAGGCTTATCTTCGATATGATGAAGTTGCATTTATTTATAGATGCAGTAGACCGACATTACATCCACGTACATTTTCTCTACACACAAAAAAAGTCATTGCTACAATCAAAAAGATCGTTGCTAAAATTAAAAGTTTGCATTGGTTCTTTTTGGTAGAAAGCGGCTCACTTTTAAAACGAAAGTCAGCCAACTTTCACATTAAGAGTTGCCCGTTCACTACTTTTAAAAGTTTAAACTTTCAAAATAAATTGTACAACTGTCAAATGAAAAGTATTACTGTGTTGAAATTAATACTGGTTTAATTTTGTTTAACAACAAACTTTTTGGCATGAAAGTTTGATACAGATGAAATGTCATGTCAAAGTGTCAATTGAAATAACAAAATTTTCATCATAAAAATATTATTTTTTATTTTAAATTCTAGTGCTGTGTAAAATTTACAGTTTCTCCAGGTTCATAAATACATTTATTATGCAATGTTCAATAATTTAAAAATAGTTCACTGATTTTTTTCATTCTCTGAATGCTCCGATGCAAGAATGCTTGATCGAGCAGCTGCAGCTATAAAACGACGCGATTTGCGATATTTCCTAGTCTATAGGTCCGTCTATATGTAAATCTGTTTTCCAAAGTAAATGTGGATTGCTTGACGAACGGGCCATTTCCACCGAATAACTGGCCTCTTTCAGATGCGCATAGGAATGCTTCCACTGGGGATCCAACGAGGGATCTAACGGATACGAGAAATTGTTCTGGATCTAAAAAAAAACAAGGGGAAGATTTTACTAATTCAGATAATTTATTTTCAATGCGTTATGGTGCCTACCCTAATAAACAAATACCATAAACGAACTGTATCCCGGAAGGGGTAAACTATCCCACAAATGGTTTGGATGATACCCCGAACACGTCGTTAAGCTCTCTTTTATGTTTATTTTTATTAGGGTATACTTACAATAATTTTATCTGCAATCCGTCAGATTGTCTCGAATGTGGTGTGTTCGAGCGACTATGTTCCCTCTTATTAAAATCCTGCTCCATGTTGCTATTTTTGATGGATGGCGGAACTTTCCACAGGTCCAAACACTCAAGCAGGTAGATAACATTAAATCGGTTTAAAAATAACGTTTCAGGGCGCATTCGATCGCCGCGAGTGCATAATTACGTGGCCTCCCATTTGTGAATTGAAACAGATCGAATTGGGACACATTTTACTAACGGAATTGAGGCAAACGTTTGCTAAACTCATATGATCCCTACACACACTTGACTCTCTTTATGCACTCACACTATTCTAAAACTACTCATAAATGAGTAGAAGTCCACCCAATGAAGAAGTGATTTTGAAAGCTCAACAATTTTCGACCTGAAAATTTGCACTTTTAGAACTACAAGACAAAAACATGACATTTACTTTTAAATTGAAAACTACCTGCTTGTATTAAATTTTGTCATTGCTAGAATAACGGATTAGTGGATACTTTTAAATTGAAAGGTCAGTATTTTTAATGATACAATTTTTGTTTTTTGTGTGTAATAACGTTTTATTCTAAACCAAACAGATTCTGAGATACATTCGCTTGAACGCATACCAATTTTAAATTGGTATGGCTTTATCCTGGTTATATGCAGGGACATGCTTTTTCAACTGTCCGTATACAGTAATGACTCGATTTTGTCAGCCTCTTCTTGCATCAGCCTTTTATCTTTCAATAATTCAAGTAACCATAATTACAAATCATTCTCATTCATCTTCAAGGTGGATGTTTAAGGTATATTTTGGTGCAATAAGACCACTGAAAAAGTGCATAGGTTTCGTAGAACAATAGAAAATATTTTCAATGCGGTGGCTGACAAAACCGGATCATTACTGCATTAATTTACACCAGTGTATATCCTCGAACTCAACGATGTTGTTCGAACATCTTTTCAAAATTATTTGACAGGTATATTCAACTTCGACAGAAAAATAAGATTTTTTATAAACTTTAGTCACCAGCAATATTTTTAGCTTTCTTCATAATCGGATGATTCATATTTTTGCACCTTATCGTCATTCACCGCTCTGCTTCCACAAAATGACACAAATCCAATCACTTCTCACACCAATTTTTGAATATACAACCTGAGCATCGAGCACATCTCACTCTCTATCTGTTTACATTTTTTTCGTTCGTTCCCATCTGTTCTCGCATACCTACTTGTGGTGAAGAGAAAAACTTTCCACACATTGTTTTTTTTTCTTCAAAAAATCCAATCCCGAAAGATCATTATTCACCGTACCGAATGCACCCTTGCGCTAACTAGGTTCCTATCCGTGAGAAAACTCAGGTGTGCGTATTTTTCTCGTATCTCTGCTCATTTCACGTCTCACCGATTCGCGCCAACGTCGGAGCTTGCTTTGATCTGATACTCTCTTCGCACTCACCAATTTTCACAGATTAGTACTCAATTTGCTTAGGAACATAGATCACTCGGGCTTACCTCGCGGTACCGTTACACGTTGCTAGTTTGAACAATACACTGCATTCATATTGAACAAGGTCATTTTTAATTTCTACTTCTAGTGTATTTCTATTATCCTTATTTGCTGTTTTGTTTTGATTGTCAGCCTCATTTCGCAATGTTGATTTACAAATGCTAAATGGCGTGCAGATTGGCATGGTTCAAATTAACAGCGGTCAGGCAAGAGAGTAACCGTGTGTGGTGAGCGAGAGAGATCGAGAAAAAGAGAATGAACGATCCTGGGAGTGCTTTTCCCCAGGGAGCGGGAAAGCCAGTGCGATGAGGGAGGTTGAGCGGTGGGAAAATTATTTATATTTATAACCAGTTCTCACCGTTCGCACCGCAGAACATTAGCGTACACCGTTCTTTTGGCGGCATCAGTCCACGGCAAGCAAGCATTGGATACGGACGACTATAACGACGACTGGACAGTTCTAGTCGCGATCAGATCGAGATCCGAAGTTTTCTGGAAACGGACTTTGTCGCTGCTGGAAGTTGCGAAATTTCCACAGCGGAATCTTTCCGGGAAGTGTTTGAGTCACACCTTTGCGGTGACATTTCGGTGTTTTTCATTGCCTGGCGTCGGTTGCCATAGCATTTTGGCCATCGGGCGAAGCTAACTGAGTTGAAGATTTATGGCGTCAGTCACTAAGCGTTCGTAAGAGGATGTGTAATACAAGAAGTGAGATAATATTTAATTAGAATACAAGAAGGAAGCGTAGTGTGGTTTTTCTGAGTGTTCCGAGGGAAGTCTATAAGAATGCAATAAAATAACAAAAAGTGCTAACAGAAGAGGAATTTGGTGAATTTTTTCGGCGTTCCTTCTGAGTGAATTTCCGCCAGCGTGAAGACCATCAAAGTCTTGAAGGGGTCGAACGGACAGTGTATTTATTTTTAGTGAAATAATGAAGGCTCTCAGCCGTTGGTGATTTGCCCGCTGAAATATCAAGAAGAAGAAGCTGTCAGTCAAACTCATTCTCAATTTACGGGAAGTCGTCAACGGGCGGCAGCAAAGGCGAAGCAGAAGATTTAGAGGTCGAGTGACCATTTCAAGTTTTTCCCGAAAAAAAAGCGAATCACTGTTAACCGAAATAGAACTGCATCAGGTTCGTGCGGGTCCAGGAGGAGAAGAAAACTATGCAAAGCAGGAAATCTATGCTCCACTGACTCACGCTCGCTTTTGCTAGAGGAAAGCGATGCTTCTCGGTAGCAGCCAGACGCAACATCAAAACCCTGCACGTGCTACTGGATAGAGAATCGCGATAGACGAACGAAAACAGCCTGTGTGCAAGTGTGAACTATTTATAGTTATCCCACGAAGCCAGAGAAAAATCGAAAAGTAGATCACCAACTAGTCACGAATTAGGCCGTTTGGTAAAGGTGAAGGGGACGGTCTGTCCCTCCTAATGCTCCGGTTCTTACCTGGAAGACCACCAACGACGCCAAAATGTCATTCTGTCGCATCACCGGCAAATGCCGGTCCCTACCGAGGTCCAACTACTTTCCCATGCTACCACCCATCTCGCCAGCAGATGCAAAACGATTCTGTCGCATTACGGGAAAATCCTACGGACTTCCATCCCACCACTACATCCCCGTCATGCTGATCAAAGCCTCCGGTAAGGCGAAGTGTAAGGTCACCAATGTATCTGGCGAACTGGATCCTCATCACTACCAGCCGGGAAATTATGGCAACCGTAAACACGTAGTCTTGTGTCAGGTCCGGTATGTCTTCCCAGTTCTGGACGACCAAGACGAAGCCCAGAAGAACCTGACAAACATCCTGGTTCAGAAAACCAAAAAGATCGAGCAGAACCTCTACGTCTACCAGGTTGACGAACGAAATTTCGGTTTGGTCTTCCCGGCCGTACTGGAAGCTGCCGTCCGCGACGGAGACGTTCGCGATGTCATGCTTGCCAAGGAGTCCGACAAACTGCTCATAAAGCTCAAAAAAGGCAACAGCATCGCCGTTAGTCTAAAAAACATCGAGCAAGGTGACCTGGAAAACCTCTTCGAGGGTGAAGGCCCTCGCGAAGAAGTTATAAAAAAACGGGAAAAAGAAGACGCCCAACGGCCCAAACCAAAGGGAAAATCGAACCTCTCCAGTATCGCCAACATCTTCGAGCAGAAGGAAAAGATCCAAGATCTCCAAGAAGAAGAAGAGCAGCAGTTCATCGAAGCTCACCGCGAAAAGGCGGTCCGTCTAGCCGAGGAACGTCGCGAACGACAACGCGAAGAGAAACTGAAAGCCCTCAAGCTCAACGAACATCTCATCGAACAGGACGCCGAACTCAACGATCTTGTCAAGCCCATGATCGAATCCTGGGACTGGAGTACCCTGGAAAAGGAAGCCTCCGACACAGGCACCACCACTACCACACTCAAATCCCTTCCAGAACCGCACCTCGTCACTCCAATTAACCTTCCACCCAAACACCTGCAAGTAGACAACGCCATCCTGGAAAAATCCTCCGGCATGGAAGCGGCCTCCTTCGTAGGTTCCATCACCCCGTCCAAGATCGAACTCAAAGTCGACCGCCAGAACGCCATAAAATCCCTATCCCTGGAAACTCTCGATGCCCTTGCCAACGTAAAGGAAAAACTCTCCGCCCAAACCGAGCTCCTCCCACATCTGGACGATCTTGCCTCAGTTATCACCCGTCTGCAAGACTCCCAACCATCGGTTGTCAATGGAGTGCCCGGCGTCAAACTGGTCGTCAACCACCAGGAAATCTTCGTCCCCGGTCAAACCCTAATGATCAACAACAAAGCAACCTTCATCCCGGGTCAAACCATCGAAAGCCACGACGGTCTGCTGGAGTTTGTGCCGGGAGTTACGATCACCTCCCACGATAGCAGTTCGATCCATTTCATTCCCGGGGAGATCGCTCTTACCAAAGGCGGAAAGCCGCAGAACTTCATTGCCGGAAAGGTGATCGATGGGAAATTCGTTTGCGGTCAGGTCCTGACAATCAACGATGAACCACACTTTGTGCAAGGTCAAACAATTGTCACACCGGAGGGCGTGAGCAAGTTCGTAGCCGGAGTGGTCGACGAGAAGACTGGAGGCTTTGTTCCGGGACAGAACATTGAAACCCCTGACGGGGTCAAGTTCATCCCAGGACAGACCATCACCGTCAACGGAAAGGAGAAGTTCATCCCCGGACAGACGGTTATGAAGAGCAACAATGAGATGGTGTTCGTTCCGGGTCAAACAGTGGTCGACGAAGAGGGCGAACCGAAGTTCGTCCCTGGCAAGACAATCGTAACGGCGGAAGGATCCAAGTTCGTTCCCGGTCAGTACGTGAATGACGCGTTTGTGCCTGGAATATCCGACGGGGAGAAGTTCGTGCCCGGAGTCAACATAGAAACCAAAGAAGGATCCAAGTTCGTACAAGGCCAAATCGTCCATACTAAACATGGTGATGTTTTCATGCCGGGTTCGACGAGTGTGGACGACAAGGGAGAGGTGAAATTCGATGTCGCTTCAACGATCGAAGCTGTCAAATTCAGTGAAGCCACACTGGTTGGCATGGTGATGGACAGTGAAAATATGAAGATCACAGAACCCGCCTTGTGCGTGTTTGGACACATGGTTCAGCAGGAAACTGGAGTGGAATTCTATCCGGAGAAGATCAAGAAAGAAGATCTCCCACAAGGCAAGATCGTTCCCGGAAAACTGATCAAACAGCTGGCCCAGACCAAGTTCATCCCCGGAATCAACGTGGAAGATGGATTCATTCCGGGGCAGGTCGTGCAAACTGACCAGGGTGAACAGTTCGTCCCGGGTCAGGTGATTGAGACATCCGAAGGGCTCAAGTTCGTGCCAGGACAGATCGTTGAAACCAAAAGTGGAGCCAAGTTCGTTCCAGGTCAAACTATGCAAACGGCCGATGGTCCACGGTTCGTACCGGGTCAAATCATCAACACCAAAGCCGGACCGACGTTCATCCCAGGTCAGGTAATCAGTACGGATGACGATGGCGAGAAGTTCGTTCCGGGTCAGGTCGTCGACACCGACGATGGTCCACGTTTCGTACCTGGTCGAGTGGTTGAAACGGAAAATAAGGTTACATTTATCCCAGGAAGGATCGTTCAAACGGCCGACGGACCGAAGTTTGTCGCTCCGGACTTGAAGGATACGGAAGATGGCGATGAGGAGTTCCTGGTGCAGAGCTTTGCGGTCACTCCAGAGGAGCTGAAGCTGTTGAAACCGACGCAGGCTTCTTCGACGACGACGTTCGAAGGGTCAGAAAGCTCAGTGATTGTCACTTTGGATAGCTCGATGCTTCAGCAACTGTCGGAAGCCGGCATGCATGTTGGACGGCAGGTTGAAGCCTCAGCCGTCGATTACGTTCTTGAGAGTACGAAGGAACGGAAGGCTTTGAAACAGTTCATAGCTGAGCACAACATCGAGAACGGAAGTATGGATGTTCTGGAGAACTTGTTCGATGGACTAAAGGCGGTTTGCAAACGAGTTGATTTGGAATCGCTACAGTACGGAACCGAAGATGAGAAACTGCTGGACACATCCGTTTGCAACGGTTCGATAGGAGCGGTGGAATCGTTGGCTGCGAACTTGGCATCGATTTTGGCAAACACCAGTGAACCGGAAAATTGCAACATGTACGAGGTGATCGCCGAAGCGATCAGGATGTCCAACGGAGAGTACAGTATAGAAGAACTGCAGCATGTGATGGAGAGCCCGGCGGCAGTGGACTATTTGGCTGGAGTGGTCAACAAAACGATCGTCAAGAGCAACATCGATCAGAAACTGAAGACGATCACGGCTTTGGTTGGTGAAGAAGTTGACGGACGAGAAGCAACGGTTGCGCCCCCCAGTGGGGCTATTGAAGAATTCTGCCAGCTGATGGACAACGATCGGATATCGCAAGCGTTCGTCAATCTACTGAAGAAGGACGAGAATCTGTTCAAATCGATTGTTTCGAGTTTGAAGACCTCCGGTGTAGTGGAGGATAGTGTGAATATCTCGGAGATTTTGCAGGCAGCTGTCGTGGGCAGCATACAAGATAAGGCACAAACTGCGATCTTTGAATTGCTAAATGAACCAAATCGGGATCAGTTGACGGCTTTACTGAGGAAATCCGAAGGACTGGCCGTGGCTCTCGGAAATAGCAAAGAATCCGAAGCCTTTAAATACTTACTGACACATCCGGAAGCGTTGAAAGACCTGAACAAAGAGGACGAGCTGTTCACCATCATCAATCGAGTGCTGATCATGGAAGAGTTGGCCGAAGATGACGATGAGTATCGAGAATTGATTGATAGCTTGGAGAAGACCCCTGCACACGCTACTAAGAGTGATAAACTGCGCGATCTGATTCGACAGAGTGGAGCTCTGTCCTTCGCTCCGACCAAGAAGCATACGATCGAATCGTCCAAGGACGTCCCGTTATCGCTGTTCTACACCAACAATCAATTGGCCATTGAAGATTTCTTCCTGAAGAGCGGTCAAACTCAACGACACTGTCCGAAGGCGTTCTTGATCATCAAGCGGGGCATCCAGGCGGTAATCCCTCGCGAATCCAGCCACGAAGTCCTGGCCGGTAAGATTGCCTACACCGTTCTGGACGAGCACGGCATCCATCAGTTCCAACCGATGAATGTCCTCAACGCGCTGAAGATCACACCGCGCTTCCTGAATCGTTTCTCGATGTACACTTGTGATATCTGCGAAGAGCCGGATGTGGACACGCTGAGCAGTAGCAGCAGCCACGGGGACGGCGATCTGGACGAAGTTCACCACCAGTACCACCGCACGTACCGGCCCTTGTCGCGGAAGGGATCCCTGTACAGCAGTGCCACCAGTGGGGGCGGCGGCCATCACTTGCCAAGGAGAGGACAGATAGACAGACTGGAAACGGCGTACCACCGGCCATCGACGACGATGAAGAACGGTTACCACGAACGATACGCGCACCACGTTGAGAACATGAAGGTAAGTTCGGTCCAAATTTATGACGGTGTTTTTGTTGCAACATGGTTGAGGAGCTTGGTGGATTAAATTTAGAGTGAGATGTAATCGAATGAAAAGCAGCGCACTGGCCTTCGGTGAAATGGGCCTGTTTATAGTTGGCGGAGTGGGTGGAGTGGAGCATGCCGCTATGGGTGGATGACCACGAGTATTTTTTTTAAATTTTGGATCGGGAAATGGTGATGGACTTTTGCAAGATTTACGATCTGATAGCGCTTTAAGCAAGTGGATTAAGAGCTAATGATTGAAGGAGTGAATGAAGTTTGACACAATTGACCACACACTAAGAAATAATTAATTTTACACGGGACGGAATCCAGCTTTGACATAAAAGATGAGACGTAAACAAACGTGTCATGTAATATTAATTGCTTCGAGACTGAAAAGTTCGTTGCTCGACGAAAAGTATGTTTGATCCCAAGTAACATTGCAAGTTTTATCGAGGTTTTAAAGCATGCTACAAGTCTAAATCACGGTCTCCAGAACCCTTATAAAACCAAAATTGTTACTTGGGATTGAATATAGCTCTTTCGCGTCTGTTATGACTCAACTTTATGTCAAAATTGACGCTTGTATATGTCACTCTCAGAGCACCTAAATTTACATTAATTTTTATAAGTGTGCATGATTGATCTTGAAAATATTCACAAGTTAAAGCAATTAGGAAGAAGACTTGAATCTTAATTCAAACATGCCAAATCTCAACTGTTGATTTGTTTTTCCTTTATGAGATCTCAAATATTTGTACTCCCAGTTTGTGACGTGACTTTTTTTAAATTTTAATCGATATTTTCAACAATTTCTATATGTTTCGATGATTTCGTCTAAGTATCGGGGTATCGATTTGTGTCATGGATTTAATAGTTTTTTTTTTCATTTCCCGGATCTTAAAATTTATGATTTTTGAAGTCTAAGATCACGAAAATTTATCTAAATCAACGATTTCAGAAGTAATCTAACATTTCAAATTCTTACCAGTACATGATTAAAAAACATTAAGGTGGAGGGTATCTGAAACCAGTAGAACAATTTGATGCATGGTTTGAGGTCCTCTATCACCCTGTTTTGGATTGCCCCTACAGAAGTTCAGGGAGCTTCTTAGAAGTCAAGGGCAACGTTAAAGGAAACATCATTTGACTTCATGGAACTTTGTAGCGGTTCGGGGAACGTCGTAAAGTTCCAAAGATCTTCGGAGATCTTTGCTTAAGCTCAGGAAACATTTTTGAAATGTGGCAAATTTTATATAAGTTAATCGAACTTTGTAGAATTTCAGTGAACTTCTTAGAAATGTTATAGAAATTCAGCGGACATTGTAAAAGTTCAGTGAACTTTGCAGAACTTCTTAGAAAAATTGCAAACCTTAGAGGCTTCTAGTAAATTTTGTTCGGAGCGCTCCGTTGAGTTGGTAGATATTCTGTAAACTTCGTAGAGCTCCAGAGAACTGAATGTCTCGATTAAATAAAGAAAACTAAATGTTTCCGAGTAATATTTAGCTATTTAATCGTAGCATTAACTGTTCTATCTAACATGTGAAATGTATAATTCTCTACTGTTCTTTCATAAAGGCCAACGTCGCATATGTAAACAATTACTTCTTCTCGAGGATGTAAAATCACCAAAAGAATAATAATCCCAATGATTGCGTAGAGCGAGAGGGTCCCCCTATCCGATAGAATTGGTGGCTTAAATGGATAGATTTTGAAATACGAAAAAATTGCGAAAGAACTTATTGTTTACGTTTGCGGCATTGGTCCATATGAATGCTAAGCGTCGAATTTTCTTATATATAGACCATTTTAACAAAGATATCTAATTAACAAGATATCCCACTAATCAATTCCTCATACAAGGCATATAGTTACCACCCTTATGTGATCTCAGTGCTATCTGTTGATGGCACATTGAAACTGTTGGGAGTTCCGCGCCAACTTTACAACCAGGGCTCAATAACTGACATGTGTCAGCTTGTTTGTGATTGCTTCGATTTTCAATCATTACCTCTTTATACGCAACCGAAACACTTGAGAAGACAATCACATATCCAAGCGCGCATCATGATGTGCTTGTAATATGTGTTGCTTTCGAGCGAAAGAGTTTCCAATATGCCACCGGTATCAGTAAGATGCAAATCTCTAATAGTAATTGATGATTTACGGAGCTGTTGTTCAACATAATCCTAATAAGCATAGAAGTAAACATAGGAAACCCTCCCCTTTCTCTAAAGAATTATTCCAACACCCCAGCTACTGGAAATGCAACGTATCGAAATCATTGCTAAACGTAATTGGCGTCTTGCAGTGAAACTTTTCCAAGATTTCGCCACCTACATTTCGAAGTGAGAACTACTAGAAGGAGGATAGTTTCCAAATTTTCCAAGTAAAACAGACGATTTTTGGGGCAAATCGGTCCATAAAGAAAAACTAATAATTTCCGGTGGATACTTTTGCTTGAATCGTGTAAGAAAACGTGTTTGCAAACTAACTGTTACTATTTCGGTATGGATCGGAGATGTTTTCATGGAAAATTATGCATAACAAGTTTGCACCCACAGGGAGAGGTTACCTCCTGCGCAGCTGCATTTTTCGGAAAATGGTGAATATGTGCGATTCCCACTAGGATGAAAGTGGAAATTAAGTGAATTTACTTAGGAAAGATTGTATCATGCTGGTGATAATGAAAATGGTTGTATAGGACGCTAATATTCGATAAATGTTCATTTTAGCCTTTTTTTAGGTAAACATATTGATACTCACAATTTTCGACGGAAAACGCAACGGAACTTGATTTACTCAACACGCACCATACTATAAAATGGTGCTAGATGGTCTTCAAAGTGATAACAAGATGTCAAATCATCTTTATTTTGAGTAATTGAGCAATTTACTTCTGTTTACCATCATATTTACGATGCAGCATTGATGGAGCCGTGAAATGAAATGAATATATCTTATGAAAGTTCACCTGGAAAAGTCAAAGATGCACATCAGTCTGATCGTAAAAACGTTTTCTTCTTCAATTCGAATGTTATATTGGAAGGATTTCACGCAGGCTTGATGAAAATTATGATTTAATGCTAATTTTCACGAATTTTCTATGCAGTCTGTCAACATTATCATTATCATGCAGTGGCGACATCTGCGTTGAGCTTTTGCGGCAATCTTCCAATAAAATATGCCGTCTTTTTTGGCCAACGCAGCACGCATTCCATTGAAAAATTACGTTGGAATAAACATTACTTTCCTATTTTATAACGTAGAAAGTATTTGACAACGCCGGTGAAAACAAACGCAAACGGGAGTAGCCAAAGCTGAAAATGACGCTTCGTGTTTTCATTTGCGCTATATCGTACGCTCAGTTGTATGGGTTCGTACACGTATAGATGTTGGTGTGCGTGTTTTCTTCCAACGCAGCAGTTCAACGTTGTCTCGTCACAAACCGTTTGGCGCTATTATCTGTCTTTATAAATTCAAAAGAGTTAAGGGGGTCTGATTTTACGAAATTACAGGAGTTAGTTTGCCTTACAGAATCGGATGATATTGATATTGTATCTCATAGCCGTTAGGTAACTGCCTCCTGTCAAAGTTCATTCTTGGGTTGAAACTAAGAGGAAGAGGGACTTTTATGAACTACATTTCTGTCAAACGCGAATCAGCGCTTGATTGGTCGGGCGAACGTATAGAAACGCGAGAATTTTTACAACGGGGAATCTATTTTCTTGTATTGAGCAATTCCCTACAAATTCGCAAATTGGTTTATTTTTGTATTTTTGATTTGACTGAAAATTTTCAGAAACGTTCCTTATGACCGAAAATGCCATTTTGCATCTTCATATCGCCATTTTGAAATGGGCATATAGAAAAATGTTTGCCAGATCGGTTTGGCACAGACAAACAGACATAACACATTGAATATTTCTCAATGTAAAACATCGTCGCTAAAACATTTCCGCCATCTGTTGAGTACACTGTGGTGGGTAGTACGCTGAACAGATGGCGGTAGTGTGTAAACGTCAAACGCAAAGGAATTGACTATGCGCGCTGCAGGTGGCGGTACTACCAACTACGATACTTTTGAATTGACCGTTAAATGCTTGTTCGATGAACAACTTGCGAGTGTTATGTCTGTTTGTCTGTGGGTTTGGTGTCTTGGGCAATATTGCAGATAATGGATGAGACTATTTCTAGATCAACAATTGAAATAGGCGGAACAACCAAACGTAAACAATGGCTTTAAACGCAAATTCCTCGAAAATCAAAGCCCATCCAAGCAATCTAACACCGTCCTCTGATAGAGCAAACTTCCTTTATCGAATGGCATTGTTAGTTTGCGTGGGAGTGTTTTGATTCTCAAGAATTTTGTGTTTAAAGCCATTGTTTACGTTTGGCTGTTCCGCCTATTTCAATTGTTGGTCTAGATTTGAAAAAATATGCACACTAAAAAAATAACCCAACTTTTTTTTTTAATTTCAAATAAAATCTTAAAAACAATTTTTCTCAAAAAAGATTTTTTGTATTTTTTATTTGTTGATATGTTTTAGGGGAGAAAAATGCCTTATAGGTCAAGATGGAGAAATGATGGACAAAAAAGTTATGATTTAAAAAAAAAAAAACTCAAGTTTTTAGAAAATATCCAAAACTTGGTCCAATTACTTTTTCGACTTTATAAAATGAAAGTACACCAAATTTAAAATAAAAAAGCACCTGGGTAAAATTTTGCTAAGTCACTCCGTTTTCGAGATGTAGCGGTTTGAAAGTAGATATTCTTAAAATTTTGGTAGTTTTTGGCCATTTTTAAATGTATTTCGCGGTTCTCCAGTTCCAACAATATTTTTTTCGGAAAGATCAGATAATTTTACAATAAAAATGCAAATTTTACATTTTAAAAATATCTACTTTAAAACCGCTACATCTCGAAAACGGTGCGACTTAGCAAAATTTTACTCAGGTGCTTTTTTACTGTAAATTTGGTGTCCATCTTGACCTATAGGACAATAGATGGCATTTTTTGTCCCCTAAAACATATCAAGAAACAAAAAAAAATACAAAAATCCTCTTTTGAGAAAAATTATTTTTATGGTTTTATTTGAAATAAAAAAAGTTGGGTTATTTTTTTTAGTGTGCATATTTTTTCATATATTGCCGAAGACACTAAACCGATCGGGCAAACAGTTTTCGAGTAAAAATTTCCGGAGGCTAAGCTTGATATTTTTCTATATGCCCTTTTCAAAAATAATGCTGGATTCAAAATGGCGATATGAAGATGCAAAATGACATTGTTAGTCATAAGGAACGTTTCTGCAAATTTTCAACCAAATAAAAAAATATAAAAATAAACCGATTTGCGAGTTCGTAGGGAGTTGCTCTTTTTTGACAGTCGACTGCGTCGCCCATAATGAAATAGTTTTTGCACAGTCGTTTCCGCGAGAGAATAAGATCACGTCACAGACAAAAAAAAGCCAGTTGCCTGCTCTTCCTCTTACTGTGTTACCTGACTTATAACGAATATACTTTCTATACGAGTACCCCGAATACAACGTATGACTCGTCTAATTTTGCATAGCAATTTCAATGTAAAATTAGACGAAATATACGCTGTATTCGGGGTACTCGTATAGAACGTATATTCGTTATAAGTCAGGTAACACAGTACACAGCAAAAAAAAATGTAATATCGATCAACGTAATTCAAGCTGATGTATGAAATAATGATGTAATAGCAAAAAGCAGATACAATATTACATCAATGGAGGTATTTTTGTTCGCAAAATCGATGTACATCGTACAATGTGATATTACACAACCGATGGATTGACCTGGTTGCAGCAGTTTGGATGTAATATTCAACAACTTTTTTTGCTGTGTAGGATTGAAACAGAAACGTCTAATGTTTCGTACAATGCTCAATGTTGCCTACAAAGTAAGCATTTTCGAGGGAAACTGGGACTACCCATTCAAAGGGGTAAAATTTTACCCATTTATGAACAATTACAACTACAAAAATGAATACCAAATACTAATAAATGAGTAATTTTTTTACTAATTCAATGGATACACTGAGGCAAATAAACTTAAGAATTTCATAAGACTCGGCTTATGAACGACACATATGAATTTCATAAGCGTGGCTTATGAATTATTTTCAGCTAACATGAGGTAGCTCTTATACGCCTTTAACTATTTCATATTCCCAAGCGTTGAAAGGCGAGTGGTCAACACAACGTAATCTCAACGTCCATGGTTCAGTGCCAGTCTGCTCCGTTGTTATGAAATTCTTACGTTCTTTTGTCTCAGTGTAGTCCCAGTTTTCCCTTGAAAATGCTTACTAGACTGATGCAAAATGCAAGACTAAATAAGGACTGCAAAGTAAGCATTAGACTGATGCAAAAGTTGAAATTTTTGCTCCACAGTGCTCAAACGGTTCCGAATTGGGCCCTGATTAGTCTCCCAAAATTTGAACTCATTTAGTGAGAAACTGACTTGGCACAAACGATTTGAAGTTTTTCTTTCTTTCTATGCATGGGAACTACTATGAAGAAACCATAATTTTGGTTCATATCTATCTCAAAACTCACCAGTTTACTCTACTTTAGGAAATTATAGCTGAGCTTGTTGAAAATTTTCTCAGCTACAACTTTGTTCAAGACCACTTTTCGATCAACTGTAAGGAACAAAAATTATTATTAATTCAAGTCACTGATGTCTTATGATTATGCTCAATCAACTGTTCAGCAGGCAACATTGGTGTTTATGGCGCGTACACGGTAAGAAAAAAGTACCCAAAGGAAAGTTCACTTTTACCTACTTTTGACTAGTTTGTCTCCTTTTCTCCTTCTAATGTTGTCAAAAACGGAGGAGCAAAACCACCCAACAGGGGTGGTAAAGTGTAGGAACCCAACGTTAAGTATAATCATATTCCTACTGTTGGGTACAACTAACTAACTTTTGGTTAAAAATCCAGTGGAAAATTCCATACGAACTGCACATAAGTAAATGAAAATGACTTTGACCCGCTTTACCTACTTTTGGGTTCCTGCACTATACTGCCGAGATGAGTGAAAAGAACTTAATTTTGGGTACTTTTTTCTAACCGTGTAGAATAGAGCACAAAAATCATGGCTACTATTGGCGTTGACAGCACCGTCGAAAAATTTGCTCTTCCAGCAAATTTAGATAGTTTCTTATGGGAATTTTCGGTGGAGTGAAAGGATAGTACAAAGTCCGCCATGATTCACGCACAGTCTGACGTTTGCTTATGGATTTTCTCATAGGAGTAAAGAGCTACAGAGTCGCCGTCAACGCCAATGTCACACTGCAGAATACAGTGTTGCCCACAATACAGTTGCTTAATCTTGCCATAAGATTATCAATCTCTTAAACAATTAATAACTATTTAATTTGACGTTTGGTTGAAAAACGATTTTCTGCAAAGTTGTAGCTGATAAAAATTCCCATAAGAATAGCAATAGAATTTGTGAACTGTACAATATGGAAAAAGGCTTGAAGACATTGAACAAAAAGTTTGTCTTTCCCATAGTAATTTCCAAATAAACTTCAAATGGTTTGTGCCAAGTCAGTTTCTTATCAAATGAATTTAAGCTTTCGGATGCTAATCAGGACCCGATTTGAAATCGTTTGAACACTGTGGAGCGAAAATTTAAAATTTTGCATAAGTCTAATGCTTACTTTTCAGTCCTTATCGAGTCTTTTATAGTCATTATTGGATAAAATTTTACGGTTACCGTGTATTGAAATAAACACACGAAGAAATTTTTACCGACTTTCGAAGTTTTTGTTTTCCAAAATATGATCAACTTTGACCTTCATTTTCAAGCGTATTTGAATTTTGTAGTTGTGGTGAAGTTTTCGTAGTTTTAAAATGCCTGAACTTACCGACAAAACAGCTGTTGAAAGTTCGGTAAAAATAACCGAACTCAATTAATTATTTTGTGATTATTTAGCTTACAGCAACCGATCGCAGCCAACTTGTTTTGCTGCTCTTGCTCTCAATATTCTCTTGAAACAATCACTTCTTTGGCAGATTGTGATATTTTTAAACGTCAATACGCACAAAAAAGAAAAGAAAACAACATCGCGCTAGAGTTGCCTACCACTTTACCCGAAGCGCTAAAAATAGGCCCATTTCGAGCGCTGGCTGCTGTGCTCCTCTGCTCCCTGCGGGGCAAGGCGAGCAAAAGTGTACGGTACACAAATTGTCCAACCAACCAACCGACGACCAAAAGAAACGCAAGCTCCTCAAAACTGTTGCAATAAATCATCCGAGAACCGATATTTCCATGACACACGATCCACGGACGCACATAATGAGACACTGCCACCATCTGGACCACTCTCCGTCGTCGTGGTGGTTCGGTTTGTTTGCTTGTTTCCTTTCCTTTTTTCAGACTCTCCCGATGGCAATGCGGATAGCGATCAAGGCCTCACTCTCGCGGGAAGCACCGATCATCAAATCCTCCAGCCGGGACTACCTTCATCGGTCCTCGTCGCTGGCCCGGCTCAAGTGAGGCTGAGCGGAAACACTAGCTGCGCTGCGGCCTCTGCTGTGCGGCTCGGCTGTTGTTTAGGCGAATAGGAATGTCCGACTTGTGGCCGCGACAATGGTGGTCGTGAAATTGGTACAGATTTGGGTCAGTTCCGAAGGTTTTTTCTGTCGAAGTACAGAGGGTGCCTTCTCATGGAAGACAAAACCTATGTCAAGATGGACTTCAGGCAGGTTCCCGGACAAAAGCTTTATCTGGCCACATCACGGGGTGATGCCTTTTCATCACCACAAAACGGTGGGCAGGATCAATTTTTTTTTCTCGTCTTCCATCTAGTACAAGTTTTTAAATAATGCACGTATCAAGCACAGCTTTTGTAAACAACGACTTTTCGCGATGATTTCTAAAAAGTTAAGGCTCGCCCACGCAAATCAACATCACCATCGGATAGGGTAAGGCTTCCGCTACCCGATGGTTACGTTGGTTTGCGTGGACTTGTCTTGAATTTCTAGAAATCATCGACAGAAGTCATTGTTTACATAAGCTGTTACGCCCTAATTCCAGCTCTATCTAGATGTGTCCGTTCTAAGGCTCTGAACCATTTGGTGGATTATTTTAACTTTTGGTTAAAATTTGACAGATGGAAAGTTATCGATTAACCCTGCTATCCGAGCGTGGTTATTTCTGACAGACAAGAAGTTAAATTTTGACAACCGTGGCTCGAAAACCGGTCGATCGACAGCACAGGGATTTTCGAACATCGAGAATAACTTTCGAAATGTCACTTTTAACCACGAGTTAAATTTAACTCGGCAAATGGTTCACAGCCTAAGGCTCTGAACCATTTGGTGGATTATTTTAACTTTTGGTTAAAATTTGACAGATGGAAAGTTATCGAAGAACCCTGCTATCCGAGCATGGTTATTTCTGACAGACAAGAAGTTAAATTTTGACGACCGTGGCTCGAAAACCGGTCGATCGACAGCACGGGGATTTTCGAACATAAGAAATAACTTTCGAAATGTCACTTTTAACCACGAGTTAAATTTTACTCGACAAATGGTTCACAGCCTAAGGCTCTAAACCATTTGGTGGATTATTTTAACTTTTAGTTAAAATTTGACAGAAGGAAAGTTATCGATGAATCCTGCTATTCGAGCTTTGTTATTTCTGACAGACAAGAAGTTAAATTTTGACAACCGTGGGTTGAAAACCGGTCGATCGACAGCACGGGGATTTTCGAGCATAGAAAATAACTTTCGAAATGTCACTTTTAACACAGCCTACACAGAAAAACAAAACTACCCACCGCTTGGGTTTTTTAAACTCAAATTTGAGTTATTTGACCTCTGTCCGTTTCATTTCCTCTCGCTATTGTTGTCAAAAATAGAACGAAAGATTCAACTCAACCGTCTAGTTCCGTACAAGAAGCCAAAATTGAGTAATATGCGATATACCCAAATTTGAGTTAATTGAACTTAATTTTGGGTAGAAAAAATTGAAAATAACTTAGCGATGGGTAATTTTTTTTGCCGTGCTTAAATGCAAACTACTTTGAGCCGGTTTACCCAAATTTGGCTTATCGTACGGAACATGGGAGATGAGTGAAAAGAACTTAATTTTGGGTTGTTTTGAATTTCTGTGTAAGTCTGTGAACCATTTGCCGAGTTAAATTTAACTCGTGGTTAAAAGTGACATTTCGAAAGTTATTTTCTATGTTCGCAAATCCCTGTGCTGTCGATCGACCGGTTTTCAAGAAGAACTCAACCACAGTTGTCAAAATTTAACTCCTTGTCTGTCAGAAGTAACCACGCTCGGATAGCAGGGTTAATCGATAACTTTCCATCTGTCAAATTTTAACCAAAAGTTAAAAAAAATTCGCCAAATGGTTCAGAGCCTAAGTGGAATAGACTCTAACCTACACGACAAATGAATCTGACTCATATTTGTGTCCCGTTTGCTCAAATTCGAAAAAAACGTAGGTCACTCATAAGGGAGTAAATTTTTACTCAAATATGAGGACATGTCACTCTGAAATATGAATGACATTTACTCACATTTGAGTAAAAATTTACTCATGCTATGAGTGACCTACGCTTGCGAATTTGAGTGAACGGGACTCAAATATTGGCGTTGACGGCACCGTCGAAAAATTTGCTCTTCCAGCAAATATAGACAGTTTCCTATGGGAATTTTCGGTGGAGTGAAAGGATAGTACAAAGTCCGCCATGTTTCACGCACAGTCTGACGTTTGCTTATGGATTTTCTCATAGGAGTAAAGAGCTACAGAGTCGCCGTCAACGCCAATTAGTCAGCTTCATTTGCCGATTGAGTTAAATATAGCTCAATTCTCCTCAAATTTGAACTGATTTTTTTTCTTGACTATGAGTGGCCAGTGCGCAAAACAGTCAGGTTCAATGAGTCATTTTCATATGAATATGAACTGCAATCTGCCTCATCATTCACTGCCTCGTGAGACTCAGACGAGTCACTGAAGCCGAGCACTCAGTCAGTAGCTCATTCAGCACGTTTATTCTTCCGTGATGGTACCCAATCCTTGTTTTGAATGACTTAGCGTACATTTTCTATAGAAAAATGCCTCAATTACATGCTGTGTGAGCGAAGGAAAGCGGTGTGAGCCGCCTGTTCGTGAGTGACTCAATGTTTTTGTTGGCTCTTTCATTGCCTCGTCCTTTACCGCTTGGTGCCAACGGTCTGCACAGACCAATGGATTGAATAGTGTAGTGCTTTCACACTCAGCCTAAGCAGTCAATAACTTTACGCTCTGTGAGTGGCATTAACTCATATTCGAGGAAAACTAGTTTCCGTCCAGAGTAACCGTGGTTTTAGCGAATTTGAGTTAACGGAACTCAAATTTGAGATAGGTGAAATCTGCGGCTGTACATGGGATCAAAGATCAGACTGTAATTATTATTATTCAGCCATTCCATCGCAAAACGATATAGTGGCTCTCAGAATTTCAAAAAAATTGGTAGTTTTGTTCCTTATCGCAAAATATTAAACCCGTATTTTTTTATGTTGTCATTATGGTAATCATTTCCATGTTAGAGTGATAAAAAAAACCGATTTTTTTTTCATAAAATCACAACTCCATTGATTTATAGCGTCGCATGGTAGTCTAGTCGCATAGGAGTATTGAGCGAAAGCCCAAAATTTGATGGCTTCATAAAAATATAGATAAAAAAAAACGAAAAAAAACACATCGCTGATTTTTTTATATGCTGTGTAAAAAAGACTAAATTTTCAAGGAAAAATATAAAAACATATTGCGCCCTCTTTCTACAAACCATGAAAACCAAGTACAATCAACGTTTTTCAATACAAAATCCCAATATCATTATATTTGTCATAAAAAGTATTTTTAATTAACTTTCATCTGATATTTTGATCATTGTTGAAAAATTAAACTAAAAAAAATGTCATTTTTGAAAAAAAACACATTTTTTTTACCTCCCTAACATGAAAATGGTAACTCTAATGACAAAACAAAAATACGGGTGTAAAATTTTGCGATAAGGAACAAAACTATAAATTTTTACGAAATTCTGAAACATTCTGTATCGTTTTGCTATGGAATTGCTGTATTATTATGGCTTGCACGACCGATGAGATCAACTCAAAATCAAGTAGGATTTCACGAAAAATCGTAAAAAGTGGAGTTACTCACTAAGTGAGTAAAGTTTCCGCGAATTACCTCAAATATAAATGCTTGATTATGAGGAAAATCGAGGAGAAAATATACTCACTTTTGAGTGAAATTCGGCTGTATTTTGAATCAATATCGTCGGCCGTGTATGAACAGTTCCACGCCAAATGACGTACCGATCTAACGCGAACTTCTCAGATTGGCATGGAATTTTCCATTATTGTTTGTTATGGTCAATCATTCACATTTGAGAAAAATTGAAAATGGCACTTCCATTCAAATTGAGTTACCAATCGATCTGAAACCAATGAGTATTCCTAAAAAAAAAACTTGTTTTCATATAACCAAGCCAAACTTTGATCACAGTAAACACCTAAAAAATGCGGATAATAGGGAAAATGTAACTGGAATCCGCGTAAACTGTGGCCATACTACGTGGGATTTCACTTCATTAATTACAACATGGAATATATCGAGATCCTGACCAGATAGAAAGTTACAATCTCCGACAAAGTTGTTCAGGAGCTCATAGCCTTGTCGCTGGCGGACAGTAGTTCAGAATTTTCTCACTAGGTAGCGCTAGTATACATGTGAAATTCTCGCATGTGATATATATCGAGATCCTGACCAGATAGAAAGTTACTGTCTTTCATAAAGTTTTTTTAGGAGGTCAACGCCTATTGCTTGGTGCTCAATAGTTCAGAATTTGCTCACTACGCGACGCTAGTATACATGTGAAATTCTTATGTAAAATATCTCGAGTTCCCAACCAAATAGAAAGATACTGTCTTCGGCATAGTTGTTCAGAAGATCAAGGTTTTTTCGCCGGTGGACAGTAGTTCAGAGTTTTATCACTTGCGGCGCTACTATACATGTGAAACTCTTGCATATAAATTTGTTACACCTTTGGTATACAAAATTTGAAAATGAAATTGACCAATTTGCTTCTTCGTATTTTCATTCAAAATCTTTAAAAGGTTCTAAAAAGAACGAAAATTTTACGTTTTTAGGACGTGTCCTTAAACTTATGATCGGAAGTGTACGGTTTTATAAATGTCTCAATGCAACTGAGCAAAAGTGCCTCACTCTCTGAGTTAGTCTCGTTGTCCGTGCATACGTTCTAGACCCTCGATAAGACATTTTGAAATTAGCCTTAAATGAAAGGGAGACTCTGAACATTCATTTGGTGGCAGTTTCAGCGATATTAATCTTTTAAGATAATGTTTTCCATCTGAGATACGTGTTACCCCTAATTTATCAGAGGTATACAAGTGGAACGACTCACTCCAATTTATGTATCTACAAATCAGCATGAAAATCTTCACCAGTAAAAGAAATCCAGAATATATTTGTCTAATACCACTTAGGCTGATGTAAATGGTATTTTTATTTTATGATATTTGATATGCGAGAATTGCCCGCCAAGTTTTGAGAAATTTCTGAGCTACTGTTCATCAGCCAAAAGATCTTTATCTCCTTAACAGCTTTGCCAAATACAGTAAATTTCTAGCTGCTCAGGATCTTGAGATATTATGTATGCGAAGATTTCACATATATCCTAGAGCCGCGTAGTGAGAAAATTCTGTACTGTCGACCAACGAAAAAG